GAGAGAGAGAGAGAGAGAGAGAGAGAGAGAGAGAGAGAGAGAGAGGAAGTCTCATACACACGTGCGGAGTCTTTTTTTTTTTCAATCCAATAATCAATCAATGATCAATCAATCAGGCAATCAATCAAGTAGCTGGTGATCCAAAGTAAATAATAATAATAATAATAATAATACATAAAATAATAAATAAGCAAAATACTTGAAAATATTTTTTTTAGTATTTTTACTTTATTTTTATTTTAAATTTGGTAAAGAATTTTGATGTGGCCCCAAGGCAAAAGTTGTTCAGTATATTTTTCTGCATAACATAATTTTTGTTGGGATCTCTTTGAGTTTTTTTTATTTTGGCCTTTGGGTTTGGCGGAACTCGTCTCCAAAGGCGGCCGAATGTTTGGCCGTTTGGGTGCGGCAGCTCAGCCGAACCCGAACGCCGGCTACCCTGTTTGACGATATATATATATGCTCAGTTTTCCATCTGGTGTGGGTGAGTGAGAGTCTGCTTTGATTTTCATCACAGGTACCTTGAGGGCAGTGGTTGGTGCCCACCTCAGGGTAGTGGCAAGGTTAACTGCGAACATTAGAAAGGGTCGACAGGAGGTTGGACTTTTGCGGGCTAATCCTGGGGACAATGGACTCCTAGCCGCCAGGTCCTGCCTGCAGATGTGAGAGAGCATGGGGCGTTGGGAGCTCAGCAAGATAGCGCGGTCTTCAAACTCAGTCTCTCTTCGAGGCCATTTCTTTTTTCTTTCCTTTTTTTTTTTTTTTTTTTTTTTTTTAATTCCACCAGTGAAACGGTACCTTTTTAAGTCTCACTCTCCCTGCTGCGCTGCGGTATCCCTCAGCTCTCTCCCTTTGCCCGTCTCCCTGACTTTTTTTTTTTTTTTTTTTACCGAACCCCAAACTTCGTTTTTTGGCTAAGTGGTGGTGGGTAATTGGTGGGTGGCCCTATTTTTCTGCAGAAAGAAGTCAAGAAGGCCGCGGAAACAGGGAAGGTGTACAGGAGCAAGATGCTGGACAAGCAAGGGCGCCCCGTCCTCGTTATGAGGCCAGCAAATGAGGTCAGGAACAGAAATTGCCAAATTGGGCAAAAACCGCAAAACATGAAAAATTAATACTCTAAAAAGTTGAAAGTTGAGCACGGAGAATCTCGTCAAAAGGGTTCGAAAGAATTGAAACTGTTTTTTGGAGGGGGGATTGAGCTCAACTGATGTGCTTGGGGAGACGCTCATTTCGGTTTTTTTTTTTCTTTTTTTTTTTCTTTTTTTTTTTTTGGACCATTTCTCGATTTATGTGTGTCATCTTTGTGCAGGGGCCACGCTAATCTTCTCTGTATCGTACTATCGTTCCAATTTTAATTTTTAATGGATATCGGATATCCCGAAGAAGGACATTTCGGATTGTTTTTAGTAACATGTTAATCATAGTTAATGTTAACCTTTTTTTTTTTTTTTAACATCTTAATCATGGTTCGGTGTTGTGTGTCGTGTCGCAGTGCATGAATGGTATATGCTTATCAGATGTGCGACGAGAGTTTACGAATTTGAAATATCTCATATTACCTATATGTGCTTGTGGATAGTTTGGATTCTTTGGAATGCAAATTTCAATTTTTTTTTTTTTTTTTCCTTCCCCCCTATCTCCTGTTTTCTGTTGTTTATCCTCTGATCCCTCTGCTATTTTTTTTTGGGAAAAAGTAGATCAGGTGATGTGTTTGTGGATGCTATCGATAGATTGAAAATTTGAAATTCAAAGTGTGCTTCTCTTGTCTTTTCTTTTCCCCCTCTTTCAATTTAAGAGCAGAAAAATGTCCAATTTATTAACAGGGAGCTGGTGCCAGCTAGTTTCTTTTCCTTTTCCCCTCTTTCAATTTAATAGCAGAAAAAAATGTTCAATTTATTTACAGGGAGCTGGTGCCAGCTAGTTTCTAGCAGCAAGGAAATTATTTTGAACGCCTCAAAGCTTGTACAGCCAATACAGGACATGATTAGTACCATAGTTACCCGATCCGGACGTCCGGATCCCGATCCGGACAGTCCGGTGTCCGCTGTCCGGTTCGGAGGGTCCGGTTGGACCCCGATTTCGAAAAATTCGAATTTTTTTTTTGGGGTTCCCAGGCCGTTTACCTGGGGCTGGGGTACCCCGGAAAAATAATGCTGATGTTTCTTCAACTTTTTGAGAACCGGTACCCCAACCGGACAGGCCCTGAAAGGGCCCTCTGTGTGATAACATTGGCACACAAGCTCACTGCTTTGCTCTTATTTGGATGGAATCTTGGCACATTTGAGCTCTCCGCTTGGTACATGACTATCTGGACTTCTGTGTGATTTTGCAAGTTGATTTTCTGTCTATCGCTCTCGCTCATATTCCTTGCATTTTTGTGACGTGGGAGGAGGGTCTGGCCGATGGGAGGGGCGACCAGGGATGGGAGGGCGATGAAGGATGGGAGGGGCAGCGACATTGGATACTGTGTTGGTGCTGTCTCTTATACACATCTAGATGTGTATAAGAGACAGGCGCGTGCCCGAGTCTCTTCAGGAGGCTAACCACCCCACTACTACCGTCTTCACCTGAATAGAACGCCTGGTTATTATCGCTGCATCTGGAAATGCAGCTATAATGACCGGGCGTTCTATTCGGCTGAAGACGGTAGGAGCGTAGCTCCTTTTTTTCACCATGCATCAAATCTCCTTCCCACGCTTCCTCTATTATCGCTGCATCTGGACTGAAAGTTGGGCCAAATGCAGCTATAATGACCGGGCGTTCTATTCGGGTGAAGACGGTAGGAGCGTAGCTCCTCTTTTTCACCATGCATCAAATCTCCTTCCCACGCTTCCTCTATCTCTCACCTTCTTCTTCGCCAACCCCCACTTTTATGATCGGTCACATCCTACGCCCACCTGATCAATCGCAAGACACAGCAAACGTCTACTCCCCATGTACACTCTGCGGGGGAGAAGAAGCACCGGCACCTGTCTCGAAAAAAAAAAACAAAAAAAAAAAAAAAAAAAAAAAAAAAAAAAAAAAAAAAGATGCAAGGTAGACGAGTTGCCACGAACAGAGTTTGAACTTTGAAGTACTAATAACAGGAGAGGATAACACCGCATTCCCTGCATATATATTTACACTGGTGCTGCGAGGCGATCAGCACAAGAGCCAAAAAATCACGTTAAAAAACAGCGGATCGGAGTTTTGTAGTTGCCCAAAAGCCGATTGGCTAGGATTCAAGCAGCTTCAGAAAAGGATTTTTTTTTTTTCCCGAGAGCTACAAATCAAACTATGTTCCTCGTTCAGGTACGTTTGCCGTTGGTACACTCTGCTTGGTGCCCAAAATCAACCCCAACAGCCTTCTTTCCCACCCTATTCCCTGCTGCGAATTCTGGTCGGCGGGGCGCGCGTGCGCGCATGTCCTTCAGTAGTGGGCCCAAAAAACGTTTCCCAGTCAGTCGGATTAATGGTACCTCAGCGATATTTCCGTTGACAACGATAAAAATAATAAAATAAATAGCATACATCGTCACACTGATGCACAGCAAAAATCGACCCACCGAGAGTGTACAATCTAGGGTGCAATGCCCCGTGCCCTGATTATCCTCCTGAATGTCCAAAAAACCCTTTGGTGGGGGTATACCTGCGAGATCAAGGACCTCCACGTACCTCCCACCACCTTGGCAAACCTTCCCAAGGATCGGAAGAAGAAGAAGAAGAGGAAGAAGAAGAAGAAGAAGAAGAAAGAAAAAAAGAAAGATGAAGAACGTTCAAACTGAGAAAGAAGAGGAAGCTCATAGGAAGAAGAAAGTTCAAAACTGAGAAATTTGGATGACTTTGGTGTTCAAATTCCCCTCCCCCTCTCCCC